CAATGCTGCCGGCCGCCGCCGCCACCAACGGCTCCGTCACCTCAACGCTGGTGGCGCCGATGCGGGTCGCTGATGACGGCTCTTCGACGGAGGCCGGCAGCAGTGCGCTGTCGTCGCCCGCTGGCGGCGACGCCGTCTCCACTTCCGCTGACCAGCTCTCCGCGACGCAGATGGCGCAGCTGGTCTCTCAGGACCTGCAGCAGCTGTACCGAGTGGTGTTCCGGGAGGCGCTGGCGGGTATCCCCTCCGTGGCGTACCCGCCTCCGGTGGCCACAGGCCGCATCGACGTACATAACGTGTGGCGATGATGATGGTGGAGGTGGGGTGGCGATGTCGGTTGCGCACAACGGTGATGTTGGTGATAGGTAGTGATGGCGGCGAAAATGGCCTGGCGTGGTGATGGCGATGACGGCGGTGATGGTGATGGTGATGGTGATGGTGAGCTCGTCGTGTTGGTGGTGGTGGGGTCAGGGGAGAGGCAGCGAATAGCCGTGTTCGCTGGGTCGTGTACACGCATGTCTGTGTGTGTGTATTCGTGTTGTGTGTTTTTATTCCCTCGAACGTTGTAGGCCGCGCGAGCGGACCGTGACTCCCCTGAAGTCGGTATGTGTACGGGGGAAGTGGTTGGTTTGCGTCCTTCAGAGGTCTATAAGCGCCAAGGAAGGAAGGGGCGACAGGGGGGCCAATCCTGATGATGTTGAAGATGCACAGGTCGTGTGCAGGTGTCGCCTCTTTCATTCCAGAACTCAAAATAGCTATGTACGGCAGGAGTAAAACGAGCGGAGCTGTACGACAGCTTGCAGTACTGATGATGATTAATGCTCTAGCAGTCTTGCATTCATTTGCACATTGGTTCTCGTGGTTGGCGGGGGGGAGGTGCGCCCCTGTGATTGGGGGGTTGAGGGTCAATGCCCTCGTTTCACTTCGGCTGGTGACTGTGAGTTTGACCGGATGGGAAAAGGAGGGGGAGAGGAGGGGGGGCCATTGGGCGCTGGCAGCTGGGTGTGATAGCTTCAGCCCGCCCCGAGAGAGCGCAGGCCTGACACATCCGACAGGGCAATAAAGTGCCGTAGCAGGAGTTATAACCTCTTTGTCGTACCTGTACGGTACATGTGTATAGACGACTGTTAATTAATGACGCATCCGACTAAATATATAGAGAGTTGTGTACGACTGTAGGTGCCGTAGGATGTGGCAGGGTCAGCGGCGGTGATGGTAGTGGAGGTGGTGGCGACGAAAGTTGGGGCGGCGGTGGAGGTGGAGGCTCTGGAGGTTGGAGGTTGGAGTGCTATGTGTTCTCGTATTTTACTCATGCTTCCTGCCCTCGGGCCCTCACGACGGTGATGTTCGTTAGTAGCCTATATTGGCTACGTCCTGGAGTTTAGAGGTGCCATGTTCATCAGGCGCGTGATGCTGCCGGCTCTTGGCTGCTCCGGGCGCCGCCCCCCCCGGGGGTGGGGTCCTCGGTCCGCAGGTCCGAGAAGAAAATTCGCGATTCCCATTGAACAAATATCCGATTTTCAAAAATGATTTGTTAATTAAAAAACTGTATTCGCTCATTACGTTGGTATGCGTTTTGCTGAGAACTTGCGTTTGCACTTGCTGCTGAAGACACGGCCGCTTACTGATACGGAGAGGCCCTGTCGTTAGCTGACCTGACCTGACCTGGCGTGACATGAGGTGGTGGTGATTTTCGGGACTTTCAGCTTGGCGGCATTGGCTGCGGTGATGGCGCTGCGGCGCCGCTGTGATGGCTTTGTTGATGATGCTGGTGGTGGTCGTAGGGTGGTTGTAGGGTAAAATGCAATGATGGTTGGCTTCATGGTGTGTCTGGTAAGGATTACCGCTGTGGAGGCTGAAGGTGATGATGATTGTGGTTGTTGTTGTTGTTGTGGTGGTGGTGGTGGTGGTGATGGACTTCGGTTGCTGGGGCTGGCGGTAGACGGAGAAGCTCATTTCAGCTTCAATAGGACCACAAGGAGCGGCAGCAGCAGCAATGGCAGTGGCAGCAGTAGTAGCAGTAGCAGTCACAAGGGGGGTTTAGTAGTTAGGAAAGGGCTACACCAGCTGTCCCCAGCCTTCCTTCCATTCCCCCTTCCCTCCTGTTCATCTACAGTACCATCCTGCTACCGGCCACACCAACTAAGACACCGGAAAGTGGGTCTAACACACAGACACAGGTTGACACCACAACGCCAACGCCAACAGCTTTGCAAGTAAAATTATAACACAAGCAACGAACGAACAAACAACCAAACCAGATACACTAACGACTCCAACAAACTGCAACCACCAGCCGTCAATCATCAGCGACAACCCAACACGTGCTGCACGCGGCGGCCAACATCCCCCCCACAACGGCTCTTGCCCGGTGTTTCGTTGTTGACAGTTAACAATAACGGTTCGTTAGTTAAAACCCGGGAAAGCCCCATCGATCCCTAAATGTCACTCTAACCTTTTTAAAGTGGAATGAAGCCCTTTGCATCGTTTTGAAGTCACTTAGTAGGGGGGAAATTCAAATTTTGAGGTGAGCTGCCCCAGGCCGGGTTTGGAACCTAACACCTCCCGAATTGAATAAGCCGTGTGAATGTTGGGAGGAGGACAGTGCAACACACGCATCTCCAGGTCCTACGGGTCCGTGTTTGAAAACATCACATGACACAGGCACCCTCACACCGACATACATATGTACATACGCGCACACGTATGTGTGTATGTATGTCGCAGTATGAGCGACGGGTTGCAGCTTGCAGACATACACACAGAGTCAGACACATGCGAGACACACCAGCATCTGCGCTTCCTCCGAATACTCCCCTAAAACAATGAGACGCGCCCTAAACCCCTTAAAACCCTAGGCATCCCCCGCCGGGTTTTCCCCTCGCTGATTCCCCCCGTTGCTGTTGGGTTTTCCTCCCGTTGCTACCTTGGTCCGTTGGGTAACAGAGGGTCACGTGCAACACCCTGTAAGTGAATCCCTTCAGGATCCGAAAAGCTACAGCCCCTACTCGCGTAGTGAGTCTTGTTGTACCCCTTTGTTCTGCCCCTGCTGCTGCTACTGCTGGTCTGAGTTTTGTTGGTCAGGCGATGAAGGCGGTAAAGCTGTCGGTGTCGGTGGCAATGATGGTGATGGCAATGATGATGATGACGACGGGGCGGCGGCCGGGGTGGCCGCTGCGGCCGGGGGCAGCCCCCCCGCCACGTCGACGGAGGTGAGACGCAAGACGCCCACAGCGCATGTGAAGCCGTGGAGGTGTGTGGTGTTGTCCACGCGCCCAATCTCACCTGCGGGCCGCGCAGCGACCGCGGATGCACCCGGAACAGACCCATGGGTCAGGAGGCCGCAAAGGTAGCCACGGAAGGCGCCGCATTGACAGAGACCCACGGGTCGCGGTGGATACACATCTCCTAAGTCCCACGATCTCTAAAACGCACTGGAAGTGAAGACGGGACGATGGACCCATGGGATTGCCCGAGAAGTGCCAATGTATGACGCAAAGCTGGACAGTAACGCCTGCTCGTCCCCCAGCACCGCAAAACTATTAGAAAGGAAATGCGGTAGTGCTGGTTAAACCACATGGTCAGACACATCCCGTCTCCGCAGTCCCCCCCTGCCTTCCTCTCCCTCCCCAGAACCCACTTCCCACCATTGCACTGAAAACCCGCGCACGGCACCGGCACGTACGACGACATTGTACGGGCGTCGTACGAGTCCTCGCCGTACAGTCCAGACCCGCGGCCGTTGCATGTGAACATGAACATGCCGAAGGGCGGTGGGGGCTGCTCCGCAGCGCCCCCCTGAAGCATTGCCTGAAGGAATAGTTTGGATGTATGTATGCTTGTATATTTGTATGTATATATGTACGTATTATGCATGTATGTGTGTGTGAATGAGACGAGAAGCAACGAATTAGGACACCACCATTTTGCGCCGGGACGGGATGGGACGATCGAAAGTTCACTAGAAGGTCCCAGCGACCCTCAAATCAATACATCAATATAAATAGATTAATATCATTATCAATATCAGTACAGGCGGCCTAGGAGTCATCCGGAAGCTCCCGCCAGAAAAACCCAGAACCCACTTCACACCCCGAACCCCCAGTGCAGTGTCGAAACCCCCCCGGTCTTACCCCCGAACCCCCCAACCTTCCCCCCTTGAAAAGGCAAAGGAAACGCAACACCCTGCACGGGGTAATGCCGTACATACCTGCAGCTGCTTGCGCTTGTACGACAGGCCGTGCGAAGTGAGATCTTCCTGAGCGCCCTGCTTGTCTCGTACCTGCACAAAAACACAAAAATGTTGCTGCAACAACAAAAACAGTCGCCACCACCATCATCACCCCGACTACCCGGGTGTTTCCTAGTTGAGGGGTTTGTTTTTCAAAAGCAAAAACGTCCTATCAGCTGGCTGAATGTGGTTGATAGATATTTTATATCGGAGGAGCTGAGGGGCGGGGAGATGACATGGCTGGGTAGCTGCTGCTTCAGAGCGATGCACCATATACATCACAGCGATCCCATTCCCCAGGGCCACAACTGAGCCCCGTACATCAGGGGGCTCAGAAAGGTAAGTTGTGTAATCATGGGGCTCAGAAAGGTAAGTGAGTGCAGGAGGTGATGATGTGATGAGCTTGTTGGAAAGGTGATGTGCATTAGCCCACGCGTACGACGATGCCGTACGCTGTGCCGTACACCCACCATGAATCGTATTCTCTGTCCCACCCTCAAGTACTCCCCCACCACCAGGCTCTGTTCGGAATCAAATCCGCGAAGCGCCCGAATGAGAAAGTCCTACGCTCGTACATCCGTACGCACGTCCGTACAGGTGCGAGAGGAGCGGTGTCGTGTGTGTGTGTATGGCGGGGGGGAAGGAGGGGAGAGGGGCGGCGGGGGAAGCCATGAAGGAGGTCGTACAGCGGGGGATGGTGTCAGGGCTCTCCAAAGGCAAGAGACATACATACATACATACAAACATACATACATACAGCACACCCCACGGCTCGCAATTACGAGGGTAGAGGTCGTTATGAGCCCTCCAGGCATCACCACGTTATCCCGGCTCCCCCCCCCTTAACCCTAACACATCACGAATATCGGCAAACCTCCAATCAACACCCCCGAGCCAAGCCCGCAACCCCTCCCGCCGTCCCCCCGCCCTTCCCCCCGCCCTTCCCCCCGCCCTCCCCCCCCACCAAACTAAGCTTCCCCCCCATTACACACATACACGCACACGCACACCCACGTGCGGCTCCAGGGAGGCCTTCAGCCCCTCCGGGGCGACTCCCACCGTCAGGTTGGCCACCGTCTTACGAAGCTGAGCCTCGCTCATACCGCTGAGCACGGACTGAGAGCAGGGGGGGGGTTGCGGGGGGAAATGTGCGGGTTTGCGGGGCTGTTCATATGGTTCCCTAACTCCTTGCGCGCATGTATGCGTGTGTGTCTGTATGTATACCTGCCTTTGTGTGCGTGACACGCGGCGCGTGGTGTGTATGTGTATGGATTCTACAACCCTACCCCCCAATGCAACACCCGCGGGTAGTGCGGGGGGCCCTCCCCCTTCCCGCACCTCTCCCCATCCTCCTCCCCATCCTCCCATCCTCGCGAATTTCTATTTTCCAACCCTCCCCTTCACCCTGACGACCCGGCAATGTACGGCACGGTACAGCAATGTACGGCACCTGCAGCTCTATTTGAAACGCCTCCAGTGCCCTTAGCGATCTCCCCCGGGCTACACTCGGGGCGGACAGCGCCGTGACGCGGGAGGGGTTAGCCGGGTCAACGTGGTCAACGGTCCAGGTGGTGGAGGTGAGGGGGCGGCAACCCTGGAGGGGGGGAGGGAGGAAATACACATGGAATGGTGGGGGCGGGGAGGGGAGGGGGGAGGGAAGGGGAGGAGGGAGGGGAGGGGGGAGGGAAGGGGAGGAGGGAGGGGAGGGGGGAGGGAAGGGGGGATGGGAGGGAAGTGGGGAGGAGAGGAAGGGGGGAGGGGAGGGATGTGGGGAAGAGAGGAAGGGGGGAGGGGAGGGAAGGGGGGAGGGAAGTGAGGAGGGGAGGGGGGAGAGGAAGGGGAAGGGGAAGTGGGGGAGGGGAGGGGAGAGGAAGTGAGAGAAAGGCGTTGGCAAGGGTACGGGTAGAACGGGGAGGAGGGGGTGAGAGGGCAGGGCGGAGCGAATGGTGGTGCGCGGGACGTGTTTTTTTGTGTGTACGAGGACACGTACGACAAGTTCTGTCAATGTTTTAAGGCATCCACCACCACCACCAGCTGGCCCGCTGGCTCTACTTTTCACGAGTCTGCCTACTCTCACTGTAACAACCACACACACAACCACACACACACACACACCCCAAAACAGACACCAACACGCCCACACACCAACACACACACACACCCCACCACGACCACCTACCTGTGCAATCATTAGGTCCATCTGAACCTCCCCGAAAATGGACATAACGACTACGCCGCGTGTGAAAACCCCTATACCATCACCACCACCATCACCACCACCACCACCACCACCACCACCACCACCGCCGGCTCTGCTACTGCTGCTGCTACTGCCGGGCTCACTGGCGGTGTCAATGGTAGTAGCGGCGGCGGTGGCAACAGCAGATGTGGCAGGTAGTGCCGTACTTGCTGTTGCGGCGGCGGCGGACCAGCAGAATGTGGCTGTACGGGAGCCCCCGAATGAGGAGGAGGAGCTGAGGCCACCTGGCGGGTTAGTTGGTTGGTTGGTTGTTGGGTTTCTCTTTTGACAGTTGAGTTAGTTATTAGACGGTTTGTCGGTTAGTTATTGAAATTGTACGAATGATAAAACAATAAGGAAGTGGCAGTTGAGGTTACTGTGGCTATTACTGTGGCTACCATTCACTGGTATATGAGTGTCGGTCATTTCCAACAATGGCCGTACCGTGCCACGCAAAATGCCGTACAACCCAACACGAAATTTCATCCTGGTCCCCAGGATGGTCCCCAAACTGTTGTCCCCTTCCTCCACCTCCCCCTTTACGTGTATATAAATATAAATATAAAATAAATGAAGTAAAAAATGTATGTATGTATGTATGTATGTATGTATGTATGTATGTATGTATGTATGTATGTATGTATGTATGTATGTATGTATGTATGTATGTATGTATGTATGTATGTATGTATGTATGTATGTATGTATGTATGTATGTATGTATGTCCAATGCCGCCAGCGCTGTCACGGCACCGCCCTCACCAATCTTTGCGGCCGTGGGAAAGGCGAAATCCAGTCCCCCCAGTAGATCCTGTACGGCAGCGAAGGAGGGATCTGACAGCACCACCAGCGACAGGGGGCTTTCCGGGAAGGCGGGTACTCCGAGTACGGCAGACCAGCGATCCGGAGGCGCATCTATTCGTATGTACGTATGTATGTACGTATATGCGGGAGGTGGGTGGGTGGGCCGGGTAAAAAGCTGTTAGGAGATGGAGAAGAAGGATAGGAACGAAGCCGTACGTACGGCGGGTGGGCAAGGCGGTTATGACGGTTAAGTGGGGAACGTCAAATTATACGGGCAGCGAACGTCAAAGAAGAACAAATGCTAACCGAAAGCTGGAGATAAATAAATAAAAAAAGGAGACAGACTGCCAGCTGGCCCAAAATAATAGTAACAAACAAATAAATAATAAATAAATAAATAAATAAATAAATAAATAAATAATAATAAATAAATAATAATAAATAAATAAATATACCCAACTGGCCCAAGTAGCTCCGGAACCTTGAGATGGGGATGGAAGGAGAAATTGCCGTCCCAGGGCCCTATGACCCCTCTCCCGTGCCTCAGGGCCCCCGGAGGGCCCTATGACGAAATATGCCGAAAAAAGGGCCTTACCTCCGTCAGGTACGTTCGTCTCGTCCAAGTGCCGTACAATCACTTCGGCCTGCGCGGAAGCAAGGCGTCGCCTGCTTTATATATGGGACCATGATGTCCGCTCGCTCACTCTCACTCCCCCCACACACGCGCAAAGACAGGACAAAACTACAAATACCGAAGCGCACACGCACATACATATATACTTACAAAAACGCATGCACGCGCACGCAGATGGGGGACATAAGCGCGGAAGAGGGCGATTCGGGAAGTGAAAGTTCGAAACCCTAAAGTTTGCCCTTCATTATTACTAATTACTAATTACGAAACGAAATTAACTTTTAGCCGACTCAACTGAGTCCAATTCAAACACTCTAGACTAGAATTTAATAATAACACAGCCAAATTCAAATTCAAATAACTTGAGGGGAATTATTCGTGCCTACCTGTGGAATGGATACCAGAGAAAGGCTGAGGGCGGGTTGAGCCTCAACCTCCAGAGCACCCTCCTCATCCACCCCGATGACTCCAAAACCCTAGAGAGAAGATTACGAATGGGTACGGCAATCAATGTACGACGTACGACATCACACAATAACGCCGGCTGGACCCACCCGGGTTTCGGACCGGGTTTAGGTTTTCTAATGGTACGCGAGCACGAAGCTGCCCCGCGGTGCCGTACAATGTACGAGCGCCCCCGAGTACCATGTCGAGCCCTCAATTCCCCCCCTCTCCCCGAACCCACCGTACATCCAAACACGTTTTTGAGGCCGGGTAACTCCGCCCGCAACGCCTGCACAAGAGACCCGAAGTCCTGCGGGGCGGTGTGTCAGGTAGGTGTGTATTTCTGGTTGGGGTGGGAGAGAGGGAGAGAAACACGTGCACGGAAGCAAGGAACTAACTATTGCCGCCGTCCAGAGTTACATCGGGGGGGGTGGGGGAGGCCAGCAACACCAAAGCCAAGGAAGGGCAAACGATGCCACTGACCGGATGTCCCAAAAAGTTGCAAAAAGTGCTGGAGGGGGGCCGGGAGGGAGGGGGGGAAAGAGGGAGGGAGGGGGAAAAGACGAACCACACACGATTGAAGCTGCTGCCAGGGCAAGAGTGTATGAAACGTAGAACTGACCGAAAGGCGTCCGTGGCGACCGCGACCTCGGGAGGGAGGGGGGAGGGAGGGAACGGTGCGAATGGTGTAACGCGGGCGTTATGTCATGACCTTGAAGACCACGCTTGTGTCGTGCGGGTGTCCTTACACGGAGATGAGGCCAAGACGGCACAGGAGATACCGCCGTATTGCCATGCCGTACATATGGTACGGCATGCCGTACCTCCAAATATTCAGAGGAGACGTACACCATGGCCACGTCGATGACGTCAGGCAGGGGCCCTCCCTGAGTGCGAATATGCGTCAGGCAGTCGAAGAGAGCCTGTAGCAGCAACGGCTTGCGTGAAATGTACGTCTTCCAGAAAGGAAGCCGGGCAGTAGTGCCGGAGGATGCGGCGGCGGCGACGGCTGTAGCATCCGAGTTTGCGGCGCTTGCGCAGGCTATAGAAGCGCGTGGTTTCAGGGCTTGTTCTCGCGGCGCGGGAAGGGAAGAAGGGATGGGGGGGTGGCACCGGACGTAGAGGTGTTGTCGTCGTCGCTGGCTGGGGCGGCTGCTACTGCTGCTGCTGCTGCTGCTGCTGCTGCCGGCGGCCGATGCTGCTAGGAAATGCTGCTGCCGTGTCGGAGGTGGGGAGCACGGTTTGGCGGCAGGCAAGCCGGCGGAGGCGGAGGAATGTGTTGGGAGCAAGGCCGAGAAGGTTCTCTGTCGTTTGGCGGAGGTAAAGGCGGTCGTGGGCATCCAGCCGGGACGTGCGGTGTAGCCAATAGAGGTGGTAAGGAGACGAGGGCTTGCGCCAGGCCTGGAGAGCTGACCCAGATCGGTTCTCATTATGTGACGTAAGTTTAAATTTTATAGCTGGTACATGCGCTAGACTTCCGGCCAGGTTGTTGCGCGATGAAGGTTGCCAGCCTTTGGCCTGCAACGTAGCCACGGAGCGGAAACCCTAGGTGCTAAAAAGCCATCCAAATAGAAAGCTCGTATCTCCAGTAATAAGGTGAGTACAAAGCCACGCGTAGAGCCCATTCTGGCGTGCGATAGGCGAAAGTCCGTGCATTCCGTACAGGCTATTAAACGCAGTAAGCGTACAACAATTCAGACCATTGCGCATCAGTTACAATCGTTTCCTTTTTAAACAACTGACTGTTAACCATTTCAAAATTTAGGATTGCACATTAGAGTTCAGTTGATCGCTTGACTGACCTCAACCGCTTTTAACGAATTACCAGAGTATCTGATAGCCGGATAATAATCTAAGCTGAAAGGTTACTTGCAACGTGTATTTGTATGTGCCGGTTCCCAACCCTGGATGACTCCGGTGTTAAGGCGCTGTCGACTCTCCTCTGTGTTCAACCTCTATATTGGACTCCTAGACTCTTATGAGGGCTCACAGGATTTGATGCGGTCTTTGTTGACCGCATCTGGCCCAGCACCCGCCAGCACGAGCCGTCACACGCTTGCCAGGGTCGTGGAGTTTCAAAGCCGGACCTTTGCTGCCATCGCCCAGCCAGAATTGGGAATCTTGCGGCAGATGGAGCCTCAAAGCGCGCAGCAGCAACAACAGCAGCAGGTCCAGCAGCAGGCCACCATGTATGAGCCGCTGCAGCAGGGCATCGAGGTCGCACCCGCGTCCCCGCAGCGGACGTCAACGGGTTTTAAGAAAACATTTTACAAAAGGAAGCTGCCCTCTCCACCTGCCATAGAATTTTCCTCGCCGGAAGGTGCGCAGCCTAAACCGGCCCATGTGCCCGAAAACGAAGTCGACCTTTTTGAGTATTGTTGGAAGTATGGCGCACGGACCAGAAAAGACATATAACCCTCCTGCCTTCACGCATGATATTCTCTACTTACGACTTAGCTGCTAAGGGAAGGAGGTCCACCTGGACCCACCTGAACCTTTCAGTACATCCGTCATCCGGAAGGAAGAACACGCAGTTGCATCCACCATCGTGTTTCGGCCATGTAATTGCTCTCTCTATTTATCTATCTACCTATCTATCTCTCCATGTCCATCTCATTTGCTAAAAGTAACTTGGGTCATTCGCAAACGAGTTGTTCTCTGTCTATTTCTTATCTACGTTTGACGACTAGTCTGCGGATTTTCACTCCTCCATGCCTCTTCCCCCGTTCTCTCTTTCCTCCCCCTGCCCCAGGAAGGCAGCTGTTCCAGGAGGCCCTTCTGGAAGGCTCCATGGTGGGCTTCTTCAAACTTATGGAACAATTTAAGTGAGTGGTTTCGGAGCAAGGAAAGCCCAGATTCCCGGAAGCCCAGTGGGTAATTCTTCGCGGGCGGGTGGCGGTTGGGGAACTAGAATCACGGGGCATTCATGAGTTGGGGACACTTAAAAGCTGACCGGAGGGAACGGGGTGAGATGGGACGAAATCATCATCATCATCATCATCATTATCACCAACGCCACCACTAACACCACCACAATGTTTCATCACCATCTTCATCATAACCACCATCATAACCACCTTCATCATAACCACCTTCATCATAACCATCACCTTCACCATCTTCACCATAATCATCGTCATAAACACCATCATCCTGTAATGCCCCCCCTCTTGTACGCTCTTGCCCTGGCAGCAGCTTCACTCGTTCGTGGTTCGTCTTTCCCCCCCTCCACCCGCCCGCCAGTACGCAGGACGAGCCGGCCTTCTGCGGTCTGGCCTCCCTGGCTATGGTGCTTAACGCGCTGTCCATTGACCCCCGTCGCACATGGAAGGGCTCATGGCGCTGGTTCCATGAAGCCATGCTGGACTGCTGCAGGTTGGATTTGAAGGCGAGGGGCGTGAGGGGGCGTGAGGGGGGAAATGGGGTGTGTGGGGTAACTAAGATGTGTGCGTGTGTATGTATGTCCCTCCATCCCGTCAATCGAGATGCTTTCTGCATGTTGGGGGGAAGAGGGCCGGTCGGTGCGTTGCCGGTGTTGTGCATGCGGCGGCATGTGTAGCAGCTCGCTGTGCGTATCAGGACCCCCTGCTGCTGCTGCTGCTACTGCTGCTGCTACTGCTGCCGCCCCTGCTACTGCCCCTGCTACTGCTGCTGCCTGAGCGCTGGGGGACTCTGCTTCAACCTTCCCTCGCGCCGACTCGCCTCGCATTGTATAACTGGCAATGTTATCCTACATCCTACGCGCGACATACATATATACATACATACGCACATTACCTTGCGGTGTGTTTCGGCTTCGGCCCCCGGCTCTCGCGGCCCACAGTGTAATCTAAGTCATACATACATACGCACATCTTACGACTCAGTTTATTGTTAAGCACGCACTCACCCCTCCGTGCCGCCGGGCCCATCAGGCCGCTGGATGCCGTGAAGAAGGAGGGCATTACTCTGTACCAGGTAATTGGTATACGACAAATTGGGCGTGTGGGTTGCAGGTTCTGTTACTGTGATAGAGTTAAGTAATTGGTTCCTGTTACGGTGGTTATTGCCGTTGTTCGTTAGCGGTTGTTCTTTAAAGGTTACTGTGTTGGCGATTATGCTTTGGAGTTTGGTGATGTCTTGAAAGGTGCGAATCCTATGCACTCACACGTACACGTACACTCTCCCACAGGCTTCCTGCCTGGCTCGCTGTAACGGCGCCCGCGTGGAGCTGCGACCGTACGGCAGTACGACTTTGGAGCAGTTCCGTGCCGAGGTCCAGTCCGTGTGCCGAAGTGGGGAGGAGCACATTGTGGTGTCGTACAGCCGCAAGGTGAGACAACGAAACCCTTGTCCTCAACACGCTCTAACACATCATTGGACGAGATGGGGGGGGTGAGGAAGAATCCCGATCCATAACCACCCATGCACACAAACATACATACAAACATACATACGGCAGGCTGCTGGCAGAGGTTGAGGCCTGAGTTCTGCTCCCGGAGTGGCCGGGTTCAAATCCGCCTGCCGACCTCTCGGGTGTGTGGGAGGTTTAGAAATGGGAGGTGGCCCCCCATCTTGTGGACGGTGTAGGACGTGATAATATCAACTTGCAAGCTGACCAGGAACTAAGTTGAGGCGCCGTTGATCCGCTAGATTTGGTTGGATGCTGGTGGTGAGTTGCCGAACCCAACGAATATATTCTGAAATCGGATGGGGTGACGGATTAGGGTGCCCCTCTAGCAGGGGAGAGCAGCGAACTGCCTCGGGAAAGGGGGCCGCTGGTGAAGCTATACCACCCTGTAACAACATACATACATACATACACAAGTACACAAAACACATGACGTTCCGCTACCATGCAACTCATCCCTCTGCTCGTCCACCGCGGTCGCTCATGCATCATGCTCTATGCGTTTTTGTGTTTTTTTGACTCCTAAGCTCGGTTCTACAACTACCAACCCATCTATTCCCCCACGATACACGCCCGGGTTAAATGCTGTGGGCTTATCTCCTCTTCCTACTCCCCCTCCCCCCTCTTCCCCCCGCTTCTTCCCCCCTCCCCCCGCCTCAATCGTGTGTGGTTCGTCTTTCCCCCCTTCCCCGCCTTTCCCCGTTCAGGCCTTCCTCCAGACGGGGGACGGGCACTTCAGCCCCTTAGGCGGCTATCACCGTGACAGGGACCTGGTGCTGGTGCTGGATGTGGTGCGTGCGGGTGCAGGAGGGGGGGAGGGGGAGGGGTGAGGGGGGGAGGGGATGTTAGTGACGGCGTGTGTGTATGGGGGGATAGGGTTGGGAAAGTTGGAGGGATGCGGCAGCTGGGGGTTTAGGCGCCGCGTCGGGATTGGGCGCACGACTTGGGGGCTGGGGTGGGCGAGTGGGGGGGGGAAGAGGGGAGAGAACAGCACTGCATGGACTTATGGACCTGGGAGCTGTGCCAGTGCTGGCTGATCTGATTTAACCACGTTGTGTGCTCCGGGCTGGTTGGTTTTACCTGATCTGATGCCTCACCCCTCACCTCACCTCACCTCACCTCCCATCACCTCCCATCACCTCCCATCACCTCCCATCACCTCCCATCACCTCCCCTCCCATCGCACGGCTCTGTGGAATGTGGTCGTGGAATAATCCAACCCGGGCTGCTCGCATCTTCTGGCTGGCTGGCTACTGCGGCTACTGCGGCGGCTGCTACTTCTACGGCTTGGGGCATGTCGGCTCTGTGTATTACTTCCCCCTGATGGCGGCGGCTCCCTCCTCCCCCCTCTCCCCTCTCCATCCCCCTCTCCCCCCCTCTTCCCTCCTCCTCCGGACTCCCCCGTCAGGCCCGATTCAAATATCCGCCGGTAAGACGGACTGACATGCTGACATACTGATTGCCAGCTGTGTGTGTTTTGTTACCGGGGTACACGCCTTACACGTACGACACCCTACGACATGTGTCCCTCCGCGCCCTTTCCCTTTCTCATGTTCCCCCCTCCACCCCTCCGCGTCCGCGCCGTGTTTTGCAGCACTGGGTGCCGCTATCCGTGTTGTACGACGCCATGTCGTACATTGACCCTGAGACGGGTCGTCCACGCGGCTACATGCGGCTAGCCTCCAATCCGTTGTTGGACTCCGTGCTGCTGACGTTGGACTTGCGGAGTGACGGGTGGCGTCCCGCCGACCGGTTCGTGCGGGTGGAGACACCTGCATTGGTGGAGGTGGGCGGGTGTGTGTGTGTGAGAGAGAGAGTCTGTTGTTGGTTGGTTGGTTGGTTGATGTTTTGTGGGTATGTAACAGACCGCCGCCATTATTTGATTTCTGCGAACCGTTGTTCATCCGGGGGGTGATGACGTCACTTTTTACGTAGCGGTACGACGGAAACTGTTTCACCTCCTGTTTCACCGGTCCCCAACCGCCACCGTCCCCATCGCCCCTCTCAAACGCTTTATCACCCCGCCGGGTGCCCCCTCAATACACACATACATACACACGCACACACATACATCATTCCAGGCTTTGGCAAATCAAGGCGATCTGACAGGGGAGGATGTCGTACGCCGGGTCGTTGATGCGATGCCGCTGGCCTCCCTGGACGCGTTCCTGATTGTACGGTCAGGGGCGCCGCTGGCGGCGCCGGCGGCAGCTAGCACGGCAGAAGCCTCCGCTGCTGCTGCTGCCGCCGCCGCCGCCGCCCCTAGGGTTGCGGCGCCGCTGGCCCCCTGCGCTGCCCCGCCCGAAGCCCTAGCCGCCGTAGCCGCCGCTACCGCGTGTGCCGCCGCAGCCTCCACATCCCGTCCTCTTTCGCACTGCGATGGGGATGTGGCAGCGGCTGTCGCCACTGGGGCTGCTGACGGTACGGCAGCGGCAGCGGCGGAGGGGCCGAGGATTCGGATCAGCCCCGTGGCAATATCTGCCGCCGCCAGAAAACGCTGTGGTGGCGGCGACGGCAGCAGCAGCGCCGCGGCCGCCAAGTCTTCCTCCTCGTGCGGCGGCAGTTGCGGCTCTAGTGCACCTGACGGCGGCGGAGCTGACGGCGGCGGCGGTGGTGGTTGCGACAGCAGCAGCAAGAGCAGTTTGATGGCGGCGGCAGCGGCGGTGTTCACGGCGCAGGACCGTTGCATTCCGTTGGCTCAACGGCAGCAGCTGTTGGACGAGCTGCGGGGAATGCCGCTGCACTCTCTGATTACCACCCATCTAGCTGCTACTGCCGCTGCTGCCGCCACTGCACCTCCCAATAGCAATACGGGGCCCTCAGGCCCACCACAGCAGGATGCGCCGCCGCCGCCGCCGCTACTGCCGCCGCCACAACATCAGCAGCGGCAAGATTATCAGCAGCAGCTGGGGCAGCAGGGGCATGTTGCGGCGGCCTCGGTGAACCTGGCGGACAAGGTGACGATGTCGCTGCTGATGCAGCAGCGCGGCGTGTGGCCGGTTCCGGAGCGGTGGCGAAACCCTGAGGCTGGTCGGCAGTGGTGGGCCTTACTTGGTCAGGGGGGTTACACTGTGGTGGAGGCGGAGGCGGCGTACCTGCGAGAGCAGCTTCAGCACATTGACGAGGTGTTACAGGTGGGGCTGTTAGGGGTTTAGGGGTTTAGAGTTTAGGTAGTAGTTGGTCGGTAGAGGGTGGAGGATAGGATAGGGATAGGGAAACGTGCCCTGTCTTGTCCTCCCTTTCTTCCCTCCCACCCCGCATACGACCCCTCATCGCTTAGGACTCACTCACTAGGGGCAGTTTCGGACTTTGGACGCCTTCCGGCAGGCAGCAGTTCATTTCTGGTTTCGTTGCTTATGATCACCTCCACCATCACCACCACCACTACCACCTCACGCACAGTCGTGTTTGCGCATCTCCCCCTTGTCCCCCCCTCCTTCCTTCCCCCTTCGTGGTGTATCTTCATTTCCTTCGAAACCTCTTTTACCACCTTCCCTCCACACCACCACCATGCATGTAAGTGTCTGTCTGTCTGTCTGTCCTTCGTTCTGTCCCGCTGATGGCGCTGCAGAGTGGCGACATGGGCGGTACGTGTGGCGAGCACAGCTCCCGTCTCGACTGTGCAGCTCACGGACACTGACTGGCTGACGGGGGGTTGGTTGCGGAGGTGGGCGAGGTGCGGCTGCGTTGCCCTCCAAGGGACGTCATCGCCTCGTGTGCGGTAGGAGGCAGCTACCTACATACATAGACACACATAGACACACACACGCACACACACACACGCGCGCGCGCACGCACAGAGAGAAAAGTAGCGGCACACGCAGTCGTTCCGAACATTATTTTCCACAGCGGCAGAGGCCGCTGGCCTCGGCATACCTCCCCATCCAACGGTCTCTTCCCTCCCTAGGGCGACACACCTCTTTCTATAGGTGCGCACCGCTTTACGCGCCAACGCCCCCCCTGTTGTGTGTCGTACCGGTGGGTATTTTTTACCTGTTTCCGTACCTGAGCTGAGCTGCTTGGGCAAGGCGTTTGGTAGCCGGCGAAGTAGGTAGCGGAATAGACTGCAGCGGACAGAGCTGGGAAGATGAATACGCCGGGAACTAGTAACGGCTGACGCGGCAGTGGAACGCTTTCCTTGGATGTGATGTGATGTGGGGGGGGGGCCAAGGAGGTGGCTAGATGGATGCGTATGTGTGTGGGGGGGGGCCCAGCAGAGGGAGCGGATACTGGGACAACACTGGGGACCCGCTCAGTATTCGGGAGTAAGAGAAACTGAAGAATTGGTTTGGCCTCATACATGAATGAAAAACACACTGTCCTGGGATACTCTGCTAGCCTGAACTCCTAGCCCGCTTTGCCAACCCCACCCCGCTGCCGTTGCCTACCTAGAGGGTGAGGTAGAGCGAGTAATGCCGTAAATGTTGTGCGGAGCGTTGGGGAGTTTATTTATGAAGTGAGTGATTCATCCTGTAGAGCTGCTTGGAGGGTATATGGACCCAATGTAGCCGAAATAAATAAAGGAGGTATGAAGGGTGGGATAGGGAATTGCTGTTTAGGTTTTTAGGGTTTTACGTGTGCTGGTCGCGTGCAGGGGGGCCAGGGACCGGATGCAGAGAGGAGGCTGTTGCAGATAAGGTGTGGGGTTGTGTGCGGCGCAGAGCACAACACAGCGCAGCGAGCGCGGTGCGACGGAAGGCTCTCTGGCACGCGGCGAGACTGGTCATGTGGGGTAGCGGCCTGGCTGACGCCGCTTTCATCAGTCGTATGGTGTGGCGGGGCACCGGGCGCTGGCACTGAGAGGAAAAAAAGGGGAGCTGCTGCTGTTGGCGTGTGCTGTGCAGTGCTGTGCTATGTAAAGTTGCCTGCGCGGGGACGTGCTGGGCTCAGCCGGCAGTCCAGCCGCGTGTCAACCTGACTCGGGTGCCAGCGGGTTTGCGGGTGACAGTGGTGACAGTGGAGCTGGCTACAGCCATTTTTTGAGAACGCGCACGTGCGCACGTTTGTACGAGAGCAGGACATCAGGTCCGCCTTGGATGCGAAGGATGCGGAGAACGAACATGCCATGCTCACGACGACGACTCCTCTGACATAAATATACTTAGTTGCACCCTACTTAAAACCTAGGACTGAGCGCGGCAGTCAGTTGTGGGCCCCGATCGATGGCCCCCCACCGTAGGGGGTGATCACGCTGCCGGGGTATATATTCCCTTGGGATCTATCTGTTGCTCTTCTCGCTATAATCCGCCTACTAGTACTACTACTAGTTAGCAAAGCAGTTTATTAAGTAGCGCTGCTGGGGCAGGCTGGAGAGCACGTTTGAGAGCTGACCACGCATGGAGTTGACTTCGCCAAACAACAACCACACGAAAAGGAAACAGAATACTCTAAACTGAGGACGAATCGGAGGAATGCGATTGTGCAAGGTGGCGTTATTATCATACAAGCCATTGAAAGTGCAAAAGGAGTTACGTGGGCCCACATGCTGCACTCAATCGGGCTATCGCATTCTTTTCTGAAGCGTGCTGGCCTTAGCCGCCTATCAGGTTGCTGCCTATCTAGCCTAGATCGTCACCATATCATCATAATTATCATCATCATTATTATTATAATTGCGTTATGCACTGGGCAGTTTGGAAAGGATAGCCTTGGTGACCGCGGCAGTATTCTTGGCGGAGAAGGCCAGGAAGACCTGCACCACGTTGACAAAGTCCGCCTCGCCGCCGGCCAGGTCGGACAGCGCGCGGATGACCAGACACTCCTTGGCCGCAGAGGCGCACACGTGCATAAAAGCCGCACCCTCCATCTCGAACGCCTGAGAAATGCCGTACATATATGCATCGATGTTGGTGGTTCGAAATCAGTCAAACAGGGCAAATAGGTGCCGGCGTCGTCGAAGCTGAATAGAAATGGTTGAGCTCCCTATCGTTATGCAAAACCTACGTACGACAGGTGTTTGGGCTCTCTAAACAGAGACAGAATCGTCGCCAAATTCATTTGTATATCATGGTACACGCCAGCCAGGATCAATCATTCAGTGCAAATTAGCATGCATGGTCAACCACCTGACGTTGTGATCGTGCCGCGCGCAGGGCTTGTGGCTGGGTGCAGCGATGTGGCTTGAATTATTCGCGCAGCGTGGAGCGGGGCCCAGCCGCCGAAAGGCCTCTCGCAAATTACGTTTCGCATCAAACAATATTTTCACAATTACCATGAGGTGAACTCATAGTCATAGGAGTGACATTTAAGTGATTGGCTTTGCGGTAGTCCAGTTGGGTAGTCTACAGCTGCGACCCCATCTGCGCCTCACCTGCGCTCTGAACAACCTGTACAGTGCCTGGCGATACTCCTTGTTGTCTAGGAAGGTGGAGCTGGACGCGCCAGGATTGGGGGAAACCACCAGCTGGGGCTGATAGCCCAGATCCATTTCCTGCGTGCACATGCGTACACATAGCCGAGTTGAGTTAGCGAAAAAACATGTCATGCCGAATTGTATGGATGACGAATGCATTCCCTGCTGCCAGCAGCCGGCATGGAACCTGTCGTGGTACGTCTGTGCGTTTGTTAATGCGTCTGATGACCGTCTGATGTGTTTCTGATGGCTGGCTG